CACATAGCATAAAGCGTAGGAGACAGGACGCCTGGCCGCGCCAAGCAGACAGGCGAGGGGGGATGGGGGGGGGGGGAGGGGGGGGGGCGAAGGGCAAGGACATGCAGCTGGGGGCTCGGCAGAGGAGACACGAATAATTCACTTCACAGAAGAACCCATTTCTCGCATGAAATAAAATAGACTGTCCCTTCCCAGGAGACTTATGAATAAGTATTTTTATTTCAAGGGTGAGCTGAGAAGGGAAATCGTCTGTTCGGGGGACGGAAGATCAATGTAAGAAACGGAGCGCCTAAGGCAACCTTTAGTAAGATTGTCGGTTTGATATGTTGGATTAAACCCCCCCTCGCCAAATCGAGGCCGGCTCCAGGGCAGGTTTCTGAAAAGACTTGCGACGCGTGGTAATCTTGGGAAAGTATCCCTGGGAATAGCTCCACACTGAGATCCAGCAGCGTGCTTTCTGAAGCCGTTGCCCGCACTGTTAGTGCCGGAAGCCTAAGGGAAGCCACGAATGGGAGGATGCGTGGGGAGGGAAGTCTGCAAAGCGTGTTTCAATTTTTAACTGCCGTTTGAAATGTACTTAGGATTTACTTCCCATTCAGTATGTTTTTGACAGGCTTGTAATTACTCTTGCACGCTTGTCTTGCTCAACTACCTTGTCTCCGGGAGTCCCTAAACTTCCTCTGGCTTGCAAAGAGCATCTGTGCTTTGCCAAAGGCGGCTGGCCGGAATGACGACGTGTCCAATTCTCAGGGTAGGAGGAGTGCCGAACAGAGTTCCGTGAGCTGTACTCTAGATGGCTGGTAGTGCCTCCCCCCTCCCTCCCTAAACTTTCAGCTTCCAGATCAATATTCCCTCTGCTCCATTGGGGTTGGGACTTTCCCCGCTCCTGAGTTAAAGCACTATCCACCATGCTTAAGTCAACAAAAAACTATACAGTATTGCCCCAGAAATACTGCCCTCCTCTTCTGCCGATTCCTTTCTTGTGGGTGCTTTCTTCCTGTGAAATGTTGCTATCTGACTTTGGTTGATTCCTTTGCTTGCTTGCTTCTGCAGCTGGAGGAAAAACATTTGCAATCACAGCACTCTAGAAGAAGTGGGGTGGGAGCATATCAGTAGTTTTAATTAGTGATGTTATCAAAGTAAACAATCAAATTATTATTATTATTATTATTAGCTTTTTATCCTATCTTTTCTTAAACAAAATGGTCAATCCAAGGTGGCGAACATATCTATGTGGTGCAGATGTCACTAGGTCACAAATCCTGCCAGAAATGACATGTTACCTAATCCCATCAGGAAAGACTGCTTGCCAATCCTAATTATTAACTTAACCCTCCACTTGATTGCATTGTCTCTGGTAAGTGGGGGTCTTGACTGCACTGAAATTCCATTATTTTGAAGGAAACACTATTTTGAAATAAACTGTTCTAATAGAGTTTTATGTTTGTTAGAATTTTTAAAGTTGGCACTTTAAATGTAGGAAAAAGGGACTTTTAAAGCTACTGTCTGCTTTTCTGTCTTTTCAGAAAGTTAAAAACATGTATTTTTGCAAAGTTTAACTGGAAACACATCCCCTCCAACAACCAATGAAAAAAAATGAACATATTGAGCAAGCCTTATTTTGAGCTTTTCTGAAGGAAATTAAAAGCTAGTAAAACAATTTAAATACCTCTGTGCAAAGGTTTAACTACAGGTCTTCAACTGAGCAAAAACATTTCCTCACAATGACTGCATGCATATGCAAACCATCTGTTTGTCATTCAACTCTTATACTGTATACCAAAGACTCTTCTTGTCTTTATCCAAGTCCACTTGGAGCTCTCTTCTAGATGAACCTTGAGGGAGTGCAAGATAGGACTTCAAATTATAAATGAGAATAATGTGAAATGAATTCCCACTGATTTCATATTCAGTTATTCTCTGAAATAGTTTGTTCTTCAGATCAGAGGTTCTCAACTAAGGACTTAGGAAAGAAAATGTCTTCTCTTAAATATAGAGAGTTTTTTGATGTGTCAGATTTCATGCTTGGTGCTGCTGCTCACAAAGCAGGCAAGAATGTGTTTAGGAAGTAACTTTTAGAAATAACTATTATGCTCCTACAAACTCACTCTGTATCCATATATTTTATTGTGTATTTGGAAATGTTTCAGAAAACAGTTCTATTAGAAGTAACTCTATACTCCATTTTATGGTTAACGGTTTTACCACTCAAATTCTCAGATTTAACTTGTGACTTCAACATATTTCACAAAATCTGTTAGATTAAACCAAGTCTTTTAAAATTAGGCTGTTGAAGAATTGACATTTCCAGTGCCTCACCTGATGTTTGTGAAATAGCATTTACTGTGCTAGCTAAATTGTTTTTTGTCTTTGAAAGGTTAGGGTTAGGGTTAGTCATGACAGCATACTTTAATTCTTTTTTAAGTCACTTTGACAGATTTGTAATATTGTTAATAAGTCTCTATTGTCTTTCCCTAGACTTTCTAATTTGGGGGCCATTTCACTAGAATTTGCTGTTTTAGAGGGTTAAATCAGGAACCTTCAAATAATGTTAAAACTTTATTTTTTTCTGCTCCTTGCTCTGTCCCTTGAATTTAGTGATAAGCTGTAGGAGGTAAAAAAAAAACAAACCACCCATTCTTTTCTGTCATATGTTGAGTGTGATAGTGCCACTATTCCAAATACAGATTTATTTGACCAATGTAAAAATTCAGTTATATATTTCAATTTAAGTTATATATTTAAAGAGATAGAAAATGTTTGTTCATGGTTGAAAATGTTTATGGATTTTTTAAAATTAGGACTGTATTGTTCACAATCTCCAAATAGCTTTGTTAATATAGATCTATGGCATATATTGCTGAAATATTGTATATTTTCATAGTAACTTACAGTATAACTTTTTTATGTTTATCAACATATTAGTTATTATAAAAAATTAAAATGTTGTATTTTGCAAATCTGTATATTTAAGGTATTTGAATGGTTGAGGTTGGTTCTGCTTAGCAAATTTCAGTCTGTTTGCTCGAGGTTTATTGATATCATGGATAAAGTTACTGTCGCTGAAGATTTGGGAGCAAGGTCAGAGTGCATAGTTTTGTGCAGAAAGTCCCAGGTTCAGTTTCTGCATCTCCAAATAAAAGATTTCTGGCAGAGATCCAGAGAAGACCTCTTTCTTAGAATCCAGAGAGATGGATTGGTTTATACTGTAAGGCAATGTTTCTTAACCTTGCTGGGTAGGGAATTTTGGCAGTTTAAGTCCACACATCTCAAAGTTGCTGAGGTTGAGAAACACTGCTGGGAGATAATACTTAGCCCCTGTAGATTGCATTAACTTCCTCTGTGTTTTTTTTTTTTCAGGCAAAATCAGGTAGCAGAAATGGAGTTTTATGACCCTCAGATGCTTGGAGTCATGGTCTTTGGAGGATTCATGCTTGTCTCAGCTGTGGGAATATTCCTGGTGTCCACCTTTTCTATGAAAGAGACAACTTATGAAGAAGCTCTGGCAAAACAGCGCAAAGAGCTGGAGAAAGCCAGTCAGCATAAGATGGAAAAGAAAAAGAAAGAGAAACCTGTGGAAAAGAAAGGAAAAGGGAAAAGGGGGGAGGAAAAACCTAATGGCAAAATACCTGAGCCAGATCTGGGATTGGATGCTTCTGACAGTTTTAAAGATGCTGGTCCTGAACCAGTTTTGGTCATTGAACCAATAGTCTCTCAGTTACCGGTTACATCAGTTTCAGCTGCTCCTCAGGTGGAAAAGTTAGACCCATCTCCTAAAGACAAGAAAAAGAAGGAAAAAAAGAAGAGGTTGGAGCCAGTTCCTAACCTCACAGTTTCTTCTCCAGAAAATATACCTTCAAAAGATCTGGTTTCTGATGGGGAGCCCAAGGAGGTGCCAGTAAGTGCTTTTCCATCATTGACATCTCAGCAGCATAGCCCATTTATTAACGTGTTGACTGTCAAAACATCAGAAGATCTTGGAAACCAAGAAGAATTGAAACATGATAGAGAGTCTAAAAAGAAAACTTCTGCTAAAAAGAAGAGAGACTCAAGTAAGTCAGTTGCTGCAAGTACATTAAAGCTTATAGACAGAATATCTACATATGTATCAGTTACTCAGTTTTATATTTTTATTTATGTATGATTGTAGATCAAAACTTGCTGTTAACAGTGTTTAGCAGGGTAAGAGAATTCCATAACTGAGAAGCAGCCACCATTCATTTTAGCTCTCCATATTTTTCTATCCTTATTTCTACCACATCCCTACACTAATTCATATGTTTCTTTTTTTCCCTTAAACTTCTCACTTTTCTCTTTTTGAGGATCTTATCAACATATCCAGCAACAAGTTTCCTGATCTTCCCCTTCCTTTTAGCCCTTTCACTCTTCCTTTGTATACTTGTTGTGTGATTTGATTTCTGTTCTTTTATGACCAAACCTCCTCAACATACTTCTTTTGTACTGATCACTCACTTTTATATTTAATCCACATTCATACAGCACCCATTCATACTCAACCCTATCTCTTCTTACTTTACCACAACTCACTTCTTAAGTAACCTATTTATACTGCATTCCATTTACTTATATGTATTACCTGATAGATCTAACTCTTATTTCCATATAATATGGTGGTCAGAAGCATGCTCTTATATGTAGCAATTTTCATTTCTTTTGACAAATATTTATTCCTTGCAACAGACTTTGTTAACAATTAACTTTTACCAGCATTTGCCCATTTTAATTTTTTTCATTTCCTGTCTTCAGTAAATATTCTGCCAAGGGACACAAACTACTCTCTTTCCTCTATTTTTTTACCACTGCAGTTGTTTACTCAATTTTCCCTGTCAAACACAACCAGCTTGGTCTTCAGTACATTCAGATCTAATGTGCCTTTGGATACCAGAACCAACCTCAGATAATTTTTTTCTGACACTGAAGCACTTTTTTTGTCAGTTGGATTGGTTGGTTTTTCCCCTGCTTCTCCCAGTCCAAAAGAAGGAAGGATGTGGTGTTACAATTGAAATGAAATACAGTAAGCACTCATTTGTTTTAGCTCTTAGAAAAGTTGTGGGATGAAAGAGGGAATTAGAGGTGATAATCCCACGTGACTGAGTGAATTCAAGGTATGAAGGAAGTGGTTTCTTTTCAGAAATTGAATTTGCCAGTGATTTTTTCCTAAAAGGCCTTGAGTATGGGGGCATTGTGAGGAAGTTGCTCTGAAATTTTTTTTTCAAGCCACTGAATTTGGAAAGGAAGTAGTACTGGGAAATAAACCTGATTCTATTTGAAAGGATCAGAAGCTCCAAGGGAAGGAATCTAAGTTGGGTACAGCAATCAGCTGTAAAAAAGAGGGACTAGAAATCTAGATGGCTGAAAGGGAATGGGCCCACTGTGGAGGTTCCATTAGCAGGGATCCTAGATGGTAGTTTAAAGAGTAATTTCATAAGGCAGTACGTGGAATGGAGGTTTCTAGATCCTCCTGAAATCACCTCACAGCAAGAAGGAGATCCTTAGGATTGGTCAGTAGCATGGTAGAGGTTGGGGTTGTAGATTCTAGAGAAGGCAGCGGGTATCCATGAAATTCTAATCTTGTGGACAGAGTGCTATCAAACAGATACAAGTTTTTAGATGATGCTGGAGAGATGAGGAATAAGGCTTCTCTTCCCTTGTTCTCTTCTTATACCTTCATGTAGTGAAAGTTCCTACCTAATTAAAAAATGACTTAGTGTTCTTCTTTGACCTAAATTTTATGACATTTTGTAATGTTAGAGAATCATTTTTTGAAATGTAGATTTAAAAACTCATTTGACATTTAATGAATATGTGATACATATAGTTTCCCCCCTCCTTTTTTTTCTTTTCTGTCAAGTTGGTTGTTGGTTTTTCTGTTGGTTTTCATATATTTCTCTTTCTGTTTTTTCCTTTTTTTGTATTTCTTTCTGTAAAACTTGTCAAAATAAACTTTTAAAACTCAAAATGAATGTGAAAAACAGAGGAATTATTTTTGTTTCTTTGTTTTTCTTTGATCCCTGGTCTCATGAGCAAGACCTTCACCTGAATTGATGTCTTCTTAGGAGTTGTTGGTGAAATGTTGATGAAAGGCCAAAAGGCTATATAGATACCAAATAGGGTAGATATTGGCAAGACTTAATCCAGTTAGATTGGAGGTTCAGTAGTGGAGCGCTTTGGTACAGCTTGTGTGTCCTACTGCAAGCAATAAAGTAAATAAATGCTGTCGAACCTGTGAACAGAAGGGATAATAGTTTTAGAGTAAATTTAATAGCTATACTTTGTTTAATTTCTTGGTATTGTAGCTGCTATGTACTGTGTTATATTAAGCTCTTTTTAAATTTCTTCTTCCAACTAACTGCTAATCTGTGATGGTGTTTCTCTCTCAAGGGGCTTGTAATGTAGAAAGAGGTTTAACTATTTTTATGCTGCTTAGCACTGAGCCAGCTAGCTGTGTACAGTTTTGCTGCTGTTTGCTTGTTTTAATTTCTTTATATTAAATTTGTACCAGAGCTCATTTTCAGGTATGCTTTCTGGTCACACTTCTACTGCAGGTTTTAGACACCTGAACTTGAATCAGTGAAATCAAAGGGTGGGGGGACCCTCTTACAAAATTACCTCTAATTTTTAGTAGTGATATGTGTATATTTCTTTTGTGCAGTGTTTTGGAAGCAGAGTTCATAGTTGTGCACTAGGAGGTGAGTGCACCCAAGTGAGTATAATGCCAAAAGATATATAGATTGTTAAAAACATTTGGTTTTTACATGTTCATTAACCTGAAGCTACACTCACATTGGATGCCAGGAATGTTCTTTTAAAAAATTACTTTCAGTGTACTAAGATAATCTTAATGGCATGGCTCTCCGGTATTCTGCCTTCATGAGCCTGTGCTGTCTGCTTCCAGTTTGACTAGCAACACCACAAGTGAATCAGCTTCCTGATAGTTTGCAGTTCCACCAACAAGTGTTAGCCAGGAAGAGTCCAGGAATCATAGAAACTGTTGGTAAGATGGATCCAGTCAGTGGGAACACAGAGACTTGGGCAGGAGCAATGGAAGGCAGTTCCATTGGGCAGTTCCATTGGGCAGGAGGGGAAGGGATGACTGAGCCAGTGGCAAGTTCCTGTGCTGTGGCAAGAGAAGCTTCTTCATGCTACAAATTGGTATTTTCTTAATTGATTTGAAAACTAAAGTGAAAATGTTTATTTAATTTTTAGCACAGTATATTTTGCCATGTGTGCTGGGTTCATGACCCGTATGTATGCCACATGTGCACAGGATAGAAGAATGTTGTCCTTTACCAGGAATCTTATCAAGATGTAGGAGAATGATAGAGTTGGTCATGTAGGTGAGTGAGCCAAACTTCATTCTCTCTGCAGAAATCCAAATAAAAGCATTCCATCTCTACTTGAACACATCCAATAAATAAGAATTCAGTGCTATCATATCCCCCACAATCATAATTTTCTCAAAGATAAAACTTACCCTTGAGTTTTAGTCTCTTTTTTAAAGATACAGTTTTTCCAGGCCCTGATTGTTCTTGGAGTCCTTCTGTGTACCAGTTCCAATTTCACAGAATTTTTCTTAAAATGTGATGTGGCAACTGGAAACTGTACTTAAAATGGGACAAACAATGCAAAACACAGTGATATGTTTACTTTCTGTGACTTGGAAATTATACATCTATTGATTGAGTTTGTCAATCAATATTTGACAAATATTGAGATCAGAATTCGGGGGAGGGGTGTATCTACTGATGCAGTTTGATTCATGTTCTGATTATAGTTACACATAATAGCAGTGACCAAGGCCCAACTTCTAGCATTAAGAAGCATTCTCTAGGTCAGCCTCCTGGCAGTAGGAGGATTGAGGGAGAAGTGCAAGAGGGAGATTATCATAAGAGGAGCCCTTCTGTTCTGATGTTAAAAGTTCACAACTCCTGCATTACTATCTTCAATGGAAGGCCTTCTGTGAGCACTATACTATCTGAGGTGAAGAAGGCTAATATCACACTGAGTACTTTCTCAAACTTAGAGATGCAATAAAGAAACAATCTCTACAGACATTAAGACTGCCTCTATATATAAGAGTGCTTTGTAGATATAATTTTAATTCTACTTTATTTTTTTCTGGGGTTTATTTGATTTGTTTTATTCTTGCTCCAAACCAACCTGGAAGATAATATTCCATTAATGAATATAGGTATAATTTTCAGTGTGTATAGCCTTGATTGGATCTGAGTCATCTCACTTCAGTGAACCTCACTCATGTCCAAGCATGGAAGGAGTGAGGGAATATATGTTTTAATGGGATTGCATTCAGGTTCAGGTTCCAATGCCATGAGCATAATAACTGAAGCTGTATTGTAAGTGGAGTTTTAGGTCCCTTATGGAACTGTATTTTTTACTGTCCATATCTTGTTAGATTTTCTAGAGCCCATTACTGAAAAACAGAGTTCTTAAAGTTGTTGACCTAGGTCCTTATCTAGAACAGAGTGTGGATACATGCAATTAAGCTGAGACTTGATTTTATAAATGTAGAAACTTTTATTTTTTAAATTAAAATAGAAAAAAATTCATCCTATTTTAAGGGCAAGCAAATAGATGCTTTGATTTGGATTCTTGCAGGGAGCTGGAATTTGAAAATGACACATTCCAATTGTATGATTTATACACATGGAATGAGCTTAAGTTACCTGTGTGTGTGAGAGGCTTGGAGCATTTTTCCATGATCCTAAATTCAGAGGAAGATAATTCTCAGAGTTATGATATCAGAGTGATAATAATCATCTGATTATCTGGACATTTTTTAATGCATGAACTGAAAAGAAAAAAAAATCAGAAAAGAAAAGAAAAGATCATGTGAAACTGATGGCTACCACCTGCTCAGTTGAATGCTATCCACCTATCCCTGAATTGGCAGAGAATTATACGAACATTAAATTTGTCTTCTCCAAAATAGTCATCGAATTAAGGTTGTTAAAAAGTGAATAAATATCAGAGATTTCTGAAGAATTAATAATTAGCCATTCATTTATATGTTGAAGTTCAGACTAATATATATAGAAAAGATATGTAACATATGAAAGATAAATAATGTTAGAGATTCAGCAGGCCTCCACCCTCTTAACCTACCAGAAAGCTGTAAAGAGCTGGCTTTTCCCCAAGCACTGGGATAGGGTAAAGTCAGAGCTGGAAAATAGTGCTGTTGGTTGCATCAAGGAAGAGTGGTTGTGGCGCCAGGCGTTTCTGTTTGTATTTTTTTTTTAATAATATTTGGTTTTATATAACTTCTGAGCTGCCCAGAGTTGTGGTTCTAAGATGGGTGACTATACAAGTCTTTTAAATCAATCAGTCAATCAATCAGCCAATCAATCAATCTGATAGGCAAGATGTTAGCTATTGAACTTCGTATTTCTTAACTAGACAGATAAATTATCTTCCACTGTAGTAAAATAAATAGCAAATGACATTTATCTTTTTATGTAATTGCTTGGAATTCCTCATAATAAACAATTCAGGAAAATCTCTAACACTTCAATCATTCTTTAGTAAAAAGATTGAAGTTCTGCTTGTTAGCAAATCACTAGATAAACCAAAGGTTCTGGTGGCTTATTTGGTCCCTTATTAGGGATAAGAGAGAATTTTATAAAGTATAAGGGCATCTATATTTCAGAATACTACAATAATGCTCAGTGTTCAGCAGCCATTTGTAAAATTTTAAGGAAATGGGAGATGGAAGTCAGATTGTGTCAGCAATGAGGCAATCCTACAAAAAATCAGCTTCCTTTCAAGTCAATTTTAAGAACCTCCCTGCTTCAACTGATTATAAAAAATACCCTTTCATTGTAAGATGAAAGGTTGGGTGGGTTACTAAAATTATATTGGGCTTTCAAATTCATTGGATTTAATACAAGACAAGGCATTTTTTTTAAATAAGTGACCCAAATATTAAAAAAAGAAAGAGTGGTGAAAAGCTTCACACCTTTTCAATAACATAACATTTATTTTTGCTAGTAAGATGTGTCTTTTAAACATTTAAGGTTACTTCTCTTTTCCCAACTTGTTCTTTTTGTAGCTACCACAGATGATGATAGTATCCTTTACATTCCCTACAAAACTTTGATTTCCATAATCAAAAGTATGTTTTTTGATGAAAGTGAGATCCAACAGCTGATTGAAATCCTAACCGAGAAAGCAGGAGGAGTTCAGGATCCGTGGCTTGTGGTATGAACCTTTTTTGATATTCAAAGTTCTGCCAGGACTTTATCCCTTTGTTGCTTCATGATTCTATGTAAATTCTTCTTAGCTAAGTATAACTATGTAGTAAGCTGTGTAACATAAGAGTAAAGTGACTTTAGGGAGAGGTTTCCTTACCATAAATCAGAAGATATTACAGATATAACAAACTTTTAAAGAAAAAATCTAAGATATATTTTTACAATAAATGTATTGCCTCTGAACAATGAAAATATTTAAAAGATTTGAGGCACCAGCTTATAAGAGACTATTTATATAACATTTCTGTAAGCTAATATATGTATGTTTAATATTGTACATTAAAAATAAATCTCAGTAATGCCTGTAAAGCTCATCCTATCATAGTTGCAATCATTTGTGGATTACCTATGCTGCCCAATAGGAAGAATGGATCTTATTTCAAACTTGTGTCCTTAAATCAGGCAAAATCTGATTAAGTCTGAGCCACACAGGGCTATTTTCTGATTGGGTTTGAACAAGCTCTTGCAGTCAGTACACACCCATAGTGTAAACACTCAAAACTAAGACTATGAGACTGGGTATCTGACCAGCAGAGCTGGCTGTTTGTAGATTGGGACTGTTGCTCCCCTCTAACCTTTGGGTTGTGACTGATTCTTCCTATAATATCCAGGTGAGTAGGTCTGGGAGAGGTCTATAGCAGCACCTCATCTTGCTAGGTAACCATTATTTAACTTGTATCTGCTCATCTTCTCTGATGAGAATGTTGGTTGTAAACATGTTGGCCTCAACTAACTTAGCATTCATTAATGACACTTCCAGGCCCAAGAAGCAATAGACGAGCCACCAGTATTTTGAAAGTTAAAGGACAGATTACAATAGGACATAGCATGCACTGAAGTGACTACAGTTATTAGGAAAACAGAGTATAAAGAAGCTCCTCCTCCTCCTCCTCCTCCTCCTCCTCCTCCTGCAGCTCTTCTTTCCCTATGTCTTTCCCATTTTCAGCTTGCTGCCTTATGATCTTGAATTGGAGAACTTGGATATTTCATGAGCAGGCGAGGGGGTCTGTGTGATGAGGAGAGTTTTCCTTTCTCTTCAGCAATGCCAGTAAATTCTATATTTCCATTACAGAAAAACAGAAATCTACTGGTCTTTGTTTTATATGGTAGAAGACTCTTTGACTAACAATATGCAAAACATGCTGAACTATGATTGGGAAGAGAGAAATCAAATGAAAGGAAAGGAAAGTAATCAATAAAATTAATATTAGATTTAACTATATATTTATTTAAAATTAATCTTAATTTAATATTTATGGTCTGGCCTTCTTTTGGAGTGCAGATGTAGCCCATAGCCCGGCCAAAGCAACTCCTTCTTCTTCTAGACTTTATCAAGGAATAAGTGAAATAAAATGCACTTTGACCCAAGATAATTTGCCTTTTTACATACTAGGGAAAGAATGAGCTACAGGGTAGGGAAAGAAGAGAGACTGAGAGAGAAAACACATATGAAAGGAAGAATGAGAAAGTAAGGAAGAGGTTGCTCTTTCAGATTCTAAAGGTTCCCTGCACCACGTAAGCCATTAATGGCATGGAAAAGCAAAAGGAGAGAAGAGGCTGGCACCTAGTGGGAATGTATTTTTATTTTTTACCAAAAAATCCATACCAATGAAATCATGGAATAAAGAGCACCCTGGAACATGGGTGAAAATACACTATTTCTGAAGCATTTGAATTAAGAACTAAATGTCCTTTTTTCTCTTTTGATCATCAATTCTTGTTGTAGGCAACTCAGAAAGGTGACCCCATTACTGTTCTAAAACGGCAACTAGAAGAGAAAGAAAAACAACTTGCAGTGGAGCAGGAAAATGCAACTGCTATAAAAGCTAAACTGAAGGAACTTACAAAGGTAGGATTGTGCTACTTGAAGACCTCAGAAGCTGAACTTTAAATACTCAGACTGAACATTGGGATCCCTTTTAACTAGAAATAAACTTTTTATTACTTTGTGTATTACAGTTTCATTCCTCTACGTAATCTGTACTAGCGTGAGCATTCTCTCATTTTACTTAATGGCACTTCTTTTATTTGCTCTAAACTATTCCCAAATATTCACATTTAGTTTTCTGTATAGATGTGAGTACGGCATCGAACATAACTGCACAAAGTTGTATATCTGTGTGACTATTAATGTTAATAAAATATCAGTAACGTGCCACAATTCAGTATTGAGGATATTAATAGTATAATTGCACATGATATATTTCCCTACAGTTCCTAAAGTACCTTCTCCTTTTTGGAGATCCTTCTTTTTGGTGAACTCTGGAATTTTTGGATTGTGCTTAGGCTATTTCTCAAAGGTAGGATAATCATTATGACAAATAATAAAATACAGATTTTTTAGTGAGATAATGCCTTTTCTGACAAAGTTATAATGCCTGGTTGTTTCTGAGAAATATAAAGATACATTATTTTGAATGCTGAATTTATATTCACTAAGCAGAAAACAAACAGCATTATGGGTTATGAACATGACACATGAACCAGAAATAGAGTTGGAAGGGGCCTTGGTGGCAATCTAATTTCCCAATAATGCAGGGATCTGCAGCACAGGATGCTGACTGTGATTTCCCCCAAGCCTCTCCTTGAACACTTTCAGCAGTGCCTCCAAGACAGACAATGTAGCTGCTGAACAGCAATTACTATTAAAAGCTGTGCCTACTGTTTAAGTAAAGTTAAGAAACATTCTTTTCTTTTTTCTACATGATTGTAGTTCATATATTTAAGCCTTTTCTTGGAAATTAAACATCAAATGCAATCTGGCTAAAATTGAGTAGAATAGAATTATGACTTGCTGTGATCTGAACACAATACAGGTTAAGATTGCATTGATTTTTCTAGCAGGTATGTTGTATTGCTGAACTTCATCTTTTGATCTACTAAGGTAGGATAGATAATTGTTAATATTTACTGATCCCAAGCCAGTTTTTCTTTCCTGCTGTATGTTTATATTTTTGATTTCTTGTACTTAAATATAAACATACGTATTTTTGTTAAATTTCAGGGTTGGTTTTGGCCCATTATTCCAAAGGTTAAGAAACATCCTAATCTCACCTCATTAGTGTTGTCTAGCTTTCCTAGTTTTGGGTTATCTGAAAATGTTATATGCAACCCCCCTATGCTCTCATCTCAATTATTATAAAACCTGTCGAAAAGCGCAGACCTGAGATAGAGTCCTAGGATGCTCCATTCAAGACTGCTGTATGATCTGGAGCCATCAGTGAGCAGTCACTGGCTGGATTCACTCATCGTATTAAAGCATGGCTTCCTTAACAGTGGCACGAAGCTATAAATCATTGCTTACAAACACTATGGGTTGAGTTCTGTTAGAAAAAATGTTTTGAGTTTCCTCAGTACTCTTCTCCCTTCTCAGTCACCTAAGTGACAAGGTTTAGATCCATCCCTCAATCAGGACACAATCTGTGAACTCTCCAGTGCCTTTACTGAGAGTCTGCAGAGTCTGGTCAAGCACAGAAAGAACATGTTTGACAATGTTTCCTTGGGCAAGACCCTGAGCGCATAGTCAAGCAAGCTTATATAGATGGTTCAGATACAAGGAAATACAGAAAAGGATTTGCACTGGCTTTCAAGCATCTGTATGTTTTCATACAGCATGATATACTGCCAAGATATATTTTCTTACAGAATATATTAAGTAGATGCCATCAAAGTGAAGTGCTCACCCACCTAATATTTCCATAGGAATATTTCCACAAGTGCCTAAAAAAGTCGGCTAGTTTGTTATTCAAGGAAAATGCCTTCACACATGTATGAATCATGACCCTTTATAAAATGACATTCCCACTAATGATATTAAAACTTCCATTGGAATAATTTTGCAGAGACAGAAATCCACCCTTTGCACAAAGAGACAAGTCACTATATGACAGCTGACAGAAGAAAAGGAATAATAAAATATCCAGTGAAACAGGGATGACAAGCTATGAGACACCAGGTTGAGGAAGAATTGGGATCAAATACAAATCATCCTTTTCATTAAATAGATATCCCTTTGGGTCTCTTACACAAACAAATGTTGTCAATTTACACTATTTTGTTAATAGGATATAACCCTATTGTGATACCAACAATTGTGAGGTCTTGCTCAACACTCCTAGCTTTAATGGGTCTAATCAGACTCCCCTTTTTCTTCATCACCTATAATAGACTTCCTAAATAATAAGCCCATGAAACACAAGCTTTGTACACTTATTGTGTTGGCTGGCAGAACTCTCAATATACCACTTTTTGTACAAATTATGGGTTGTTGCATGTACTGGCACAATGATTTTCAGTTCGGGAATTTAGGGGGGGGAAAAAGAACTGAATTAGAAATACAAATCTTGCCCAATCATAGACATGCTAACGTACTAGATTTCTGAATAGCTTTTATGGGACAGCAGTTAATTTTTACCAGGGAAGTTTTTTTGCTTTTATTTTTGTTTTGTTTTTTACAAAATGTCTTGTTAAGAAGAATGAATCAGGAAGTTCCATCATGCATTTCAACCACTGCTATGACTTCATTTATTGCCTAAAAAAAGGAGCAGGTTAGTTTCTTAAAAAATAAATGTGCTTTTATTTTTATATTATAGTTATCACTCTTGGTTGCTTTAGTGACCATGGTGTGTTCTAGAATTATAAATAAAAAGCAGAGTTATAAGATAATGCAAGAAGAACAACAAGGAGGAACCCTGGAACCATGAAAAAATCTGCTCTACTTCCTTCTTCATGACAAGTCTGAGTTAACGGAAACTTTGGCATGAGGGTAGCTAGACAACCAGCCTCTTGGCTGAGAAGAAACTTCAAAACGGCTCATACCTTATTTGTGCTTTCCTCTTAGGGGGAAAGGCTGAAGAGCCATAGAAGAACAGTCCATTTTAATATGTTGCTGTCTCCATAGAAAGCAGGTGGTGAAGTTTGAAGAATCTTGCAACCTCCTCCCCATTTAAACACAATGGCTATGGAGTCTTTGCATTTTATCCTAGGAAAACCAGGAAGCATAATTCAGAATGGGATGTTGGTGAGTTATGTAAGCAAGTAATAGCTTTTGACAGGCCAAAAGACAGTTCACCAAATGGACAGGCCAAAATACAGTCCACCAAGTCTGGATTTCAGTTAACTGACTACTATGTCACTAATCAGCAATTACAGAGCATTAGGAGTTGGTGACTTGCTTTTTTTCTTTTTGTTTTATATCATGTCTTTGTATAAGCCTGAATGTAGGAATTACGTAGATTATGACAATCTATAATAGTACATTGCAGCACTTGAAAGATTTGAAAGCATTTGAAAGATATATTTATAACTGCATAGACACAATGGATCATGCTCTGCTTCATTAGATGTTTGAAGTATAGTCCTGAAAGAAGAAATGTACAGGTGAAACTCGAAAAATTAGAATATCGTGCAAATGTTCATTTATGTCA